TGCCCCTCCACCTTAAAAAAAATCCTAGAATTGCCCTACGATGGACTGGGATGCCAATCAGGGTATACCACAGCCTTGTGCCATGTGCCAATTTCCAAGTTAATTATTATTATTATTATTATTACTATTAAAATAATCATCACCACCACCTAGTACAGCCAGTTAATTCAAACTATTTTGAGATCAGTTGTAGCCTAGCACTGACCCCTAGTGGTGCCCCTCCAGGTGGAGCGTAACGCGCAGCTGGAAGGCCAGCTCTCGCAGTGCCAGCAGAGGGCGCAGTGGATGAGCGCACACGTGGAGGAGATGAAGCTGCAGCTTCAGCAGACGCAGCTAGGTATCCCAAGCTCCGCGCTGACCTGCTCCAGGCCGCTCTCCCATCCAGGTAGTTTCCTGCCTGATTCTCACTGTCTTCCTCTCCTCCGTGCATCGGGGTGGGGGGCACTATAAACCCCAACCAGCCCTGGAAAATGAAGTTCTGCGCAACCCCAAGCCCTCGCTGGTGGACCGTTCTGTGCTGGAGCTCAGCGCCGACAAGCTGGTGCCGCCCGACATCTACGTGGATGGTCCGGCCGCGAGGAGGCGGGAGGCCCGCGTTGGGGTCGCGGAAACCTGCCGGCGTTGGCCCCTGCGAGCCCGCAGCGCCTCCCCAGACCCCGACGCCGAGCTGGTGGCCGGAGCCAAGGCCCGCATCCGGGAGCTGGAGAAGGAAGCGGAGGCTCTGGAGGAGGCCTACAGACACTACCAGCAGAGGGCGACGCGCTTGGCGGCCGCTGGCCTCCAGGTCCCCAGGGCACGCTCTCCCCAGCTAAAAGCGCACAGCTTCGGCTCCGGGCCCCCACCTGCCCCCCAGCCCAGAGTGACCTTCCCCCATGAAGGGCCGCTCGCTCCCAGCCTCCTCCATGAGTTTGTGAGTGCCAAGCTCCTGGAGTCTCTGGACTTCCGAGAGGAGCGGGCAGCTGGGGAGCAAACACCACCAGGGGGCAGCGATACTCCCCCCAGGCGCCTGTCCTCCACCCCCCTGTCTATCACCAAGCGGCAGCTTCCCAGGAAGACTGTGGAAGGTACCCCCACCCCGGTCTTATGGCTCATTTCAAAGTGGGTGGATGAGCCTTTTTGTAATAGAGGGATTAGGCTAAAGAAACTTACCAGGTTTCTCTATTGTAATCTTCTCAGATATGAAATAACACATAATCAAATGGTTTGCGGAGTATATTTTGATCTGATTGTACTCAGTAGGTTATCTCTAAAGTCCAAGAATACTCTGTCATGAAAGCCTTTGAGCAGATGCTTCTTGTCATCCCCACGCCCAGATGCCGGGGGCTCCCCCGTGATGTTCAGCAGCCTGTCTCCGACACGGCAGCTCTCCCCCATCCCCCGGGGGCGGGCAATGGACATGAGCCCACCGGGCAGCCCCCCTCTGAGGAGTACGGCACGAGAGCCCTACAGGTGACACCCTCGTCTCACTGCCTGTCTGTCACACGCGGGCGTACAGCACGGTACCAGACCACCAGCTTACATTTTCAGATGCCTTCTTCTAATAAAGAGACAAAACATAAAAACCATCCACACGCTCAGGGGAAGCTAAAAGTGTGTTGCTTATCCAAAACACTTTTATTTGCATGTGTATCAGCACAGGGGGGCTTCAGATATCCATCAGGCAGGTGCACTGGATCCTGTTGATGTCCTGCCAGATTATATGGCTCAGTGGGTTACGGGCCGGGGCCTGTGATCAGAAGCTTTGATTGCCAGAGTCGGCAGAGTAATTTCGCTGTTGGGCCGTTGAGGAAGGCATTTAACCCGCAGTGGCTCCACGGAATGTCTGATCCTGCTTTCCCAAAAAAGAAAAACAGACATCGCTTTGGATGAAAGCGTCTACTGTATAAATTAAATGTAAGTAATGTAAATCTCATCTGTGTCTGTCTCTGTCTGCAGCTCACCAATAGCACCTCAGAGTGACTCCAGTTCAGGTTCCTCCCCTCATCCAGAGAAAATATCCCTGCAAGACCTGACAGAGCTTCCGCAAGGTGCTTCATAATCATCTCATAATCTCTAAGGGCTCGGTATAAACTACGTACACGTGCCAGGTCGACTCCCCGACGTGGCCTCAATTAGCCTGTGTATGACTGTCTATGTCCATACCTTAACCCCGACCAGAGCAGTCTATGTTCTTATTTTGTGTTTTATTGTCACGGTTGCTGAAGAAAAGCTTAGAATATGATGGTTGCTGGCTTATGACTGCATTGGCTTTTTGAATCATTTGAGTGGGGTCCCGTTTTCCTGTTACCGCTGTTTCCTGCTGTCGTTTCTAATCCCCGTAATGCTCATCATAGACACCCAGCCACAGAATGACCCGCCGGCACCCTCTCCTGGCCACACTCGGGGTGCTGTGTCTGTTTTTGGGGCTGATTATGGATTCTCTGTCTGTACCCCTCGTCTCCCCCATTGTGGGGGGAAATAAAAGGCTCTTTGTGTGCCTCTGCTCTCACTCCATCCCCCCCAGAGCCCAGCTGCATTCCTGAGCTTCTCCAGGACGAACGGGACCATCTGTCCGCCGGGGGCTCGGAGGCCCAGAGGATCAGCCCGCCAGGGGCAGAGGGGAGGCGGGAGGAGGCTACGCCCCACATCCTTGGTGCGTGTTTGTGTACCTTAACACCAGCTCGTCCCGAACACTAACCCCGCCTTCTCTGCTGTCCTACTTCTGACACCACAGCTAAGGGTATGGCTCTGTCTTCATCCTTAGAAATTTGGACTCTGTAGAGCTGTTGACATAAATCTGTCCATTCTCATTCCTATGCACGGAATATTTTATGCTGAAATTTAGATGAATTGCTAATGAAAATAATGGATTGTAATGACATGATGTGTCAGACTTCGGAATCCCTCAAATCTTATTTTAAAGTCTAAACTTAAGGCTGCAATTTTTCCAATTTGAAGGCTTATTGACGTGATAGAGGAATGGTGAGAAATTCAAGACTCGCCTTTAGTGCAAAGGGTGTCTGCAATGAGTCTATCGTAGACCACCCCCCCCCCCAGATGGCCAATCTACTGAGATCCCAGTACGACAAGAGGAGGAGGAGGATGGAGGCGTAAAGTTGGAGCTGGAGGGCCAGATCAGAGAAGAGAGGTGGAGACAGGAGGGCTTGGAGTCTCTGGAGAGACCGGAAGAGCAGAGGGTGAGTGTCTGCCCCCCTGTGGGACCACAGCCAGACAGTGTCACCTGGGTGCTCATGGAGTGACTTATACCCGCACAGTTGCTTGAAGAAGGGGGCATGTCCCAGGAGTGGAGCACCAAGGGGGACAAAACAACCAAACAGGAGGGTGGGGTTGCAGATACGGTCTCCAAAAGCTCAGAAACCAGCCCTACCCTGGATCCTCTGGCAAAGTACATGAGGATAGTCATGCAAGGGAAGGAGGCGGAGCCTGATCAGGTGGGTGGAGTCGCCATGGATTCGGTCACAGTGTGTCCATGGTAACCTGAAAAAGGGGCGTGGTTTTACAGCATCCGGGCAAGGATGAAGCAGAAGGAGGAAGTCTGGCGGCAGGCATCCTCTCTGACGATAAAGACAACAGGTACAGTGTCGTCGGGGTGTCGGGGGTCTTCGCTGTGGTTGGGGGATGCTTTTGGGGCCTTAGCTGAATTATAGGGATTGTATCCTCTGCACATTTTTGACATTGTCAGTCTAGTGGTCACAAGCCCCTCCTTCCCTGCATGTTCACACCATGCGATCGCCTTCCACACGGTCCTTACCTGCATTCTTGCATTGCAGCATCATCACTTTCTCCCAGGATGAGGCTGATGAAGATTTCTGGTGAAAAAGCCCTGATGCGACATATGAGACATTTCACAAGCAAGCTCCTTTTTTACTGTGTTTGGGATTTTTATGCTTTAGTAACCTGACTGGATTAATGAGTGATGAATGCCTATCAGCAGCATATCTGCTAGCACCTACACGTCACATGTGACCTTAATGTAATGTGAATTTTGTTGTTTTTATGGTAAGATTTGTGTAACTGTGAATAAAGTTCATTATCATGGTTTATTTTTGTTAGCGTTTCTTAATCTGATGTCAGTTACACTGAATTATTTAACAGGTGATTTTATCCATAACTATGTTCAGAAAGCAGAGTCATCAATCCCTGGAGCAATTGGGGTTAAGGCCCATGCCCCAGGGCCTAACTGTGAAATCACTCTGCCAAAAATAGGATTTGAACCGGCGTCCTTCCAGTCTCCAGTCTGTCTGTTTTAACTTGCTTAGCTACACACAATATTTTGAGCCAGTTATGTTGGCAAATGTGCTATATTAAAATTGAGGAGGGCTCATGACCGTGCTTCTGGAACAATATGGTCACTGGGTAGGGCTGCAACCTGGACATAATCACATGCTACGGGCAGAAGTACATAGGTGGGGTTTGACCTGCCCACCCTGGAGGTGTAAGACAGCATTGCTGCCCACTAAGCCAACCTATTATTCTGCCTTAATAGTCTGAGAAAATGAGTGTACTAGAATGATTTCAGCTTCAAACTCATTTGCAGGTATAAATATGTGATGTTCTGTTTCAGCCTAAGGAGAATGGGTTTTCCCCCTTGCAATCTCACTCCTCTCACACATTCTTCCTTGCCACTGTCACCTCTGGCTTGCTCTCTCACGGCATTGGGTAAAGTGTTTTGAGACAGTATAATGTGAAAACCTTATATACAAATGAAACTCAACAAACTGAATCGAACTATACAGAGCAGCTGTGAGCCAGCATGTCAAGTGTCTTTCGAAAGGTTTAACACAACTTTTTGAAAAAAAAGACTGGTTTATTTCTAAATGGCTTGCATTGTACACATTAACTTACCAGAACATTGTGTTTTTTTTTTTTTTTTAATATATATATATTTTTTATTTTATTTTTTTTTCCCCCCACACTTTGCCAATCTTTGAGGAAATAAGACCAGGTAAGTGTCGTCGTGCATGAATCTGACGTGGTACAGAAACAGTAACACGCTGATGGATGATCTCAGCTACGCGTTTAATTTCTACTTCAATAACTGCCAGGAACGCCTTGGCACTCGTAGAAAAAAGGTTAACGAACAGGTTACAAATAGCTGCATAAAGGATCTGTAGAGATTTTAGATTTTTTATTTTTTAAACAAAAGTGGACTATCAAACGGCTAGATTTACTACTTAACACACAATGTTTTTTTTTTTTTGTTAAAAAAGGAGCGGGCAAACACTGCCTACGAGATTTTTGTCAGTACAAATGACTACACAGAACTTGAATTACTGCAGAAACAGTTATTTCTCCTTCATGCAATAATGAATAAACATCAAAATATCCCTGTACGTCTTGTCACTAGAACAGAAAACATACAGTACATGTAATGTTTATCTGGATTTTAACCTTTGCACAAACAATACCAAAAATAGCTTTTTTAAAAAGGGATTCAAAACATTTTTCCCATTAAATTCTCCTGACATGGTTTTAAAAAAAAAAAAGAATTCCAAAGCATTCCTGAATTTTTACATTTTACACATCAACCCACCGAAATCACCCCCCCACTACACACTTCACACTTACCGTCTCGGAGTTGAGCACACTTAGGTTAACCATGGTAACATACAGAGCACACAGATTCAAGAGGGAACCTTCAATATCAGCAATTTCTTTTCAATCTCAAGAAAACAAGAAAGCATTAGGGATGTAAAGACCACTCGGAACCATAAACTGGTCAGGTATACATAAGCAGGCATCATTTTTCATAATGAAATATAGAAAGTGCGAGCCCTTGTCCCAGGTATAGCTGCATCTCTCTGTACTCATTCCCTTATATTCTCAATGCGGCATCATTGTGTATTAAAAGCATATCTAACAAAAAATAATACTGAGATTAGATACATCGTGAGGAGACATATTTACAAATATACACTAAGAAGCGGTAAAAGTTATTGGCCATATCTTCCAAAGTAGGATGTGTAAGTATTTCATGAGATGGTATATGAGATGTGACCAAATAGTTCTAAGGTGTAATTAATTCAATGGCATTCCTATGAATAACACTGGAACATTGTTGAAAACCCTGTCTCTCCGAACAGTTGAAGTTATCGGAACGCTGTATGTTACTAATCTACTTTTTCCATGCTGCTCCAAGTCCTCCTCCGGAATGGGACAGAGCTGGTGAGCTGTGTTTCAGGAGACTTTCCGAACAGCGTTGGAATTTTTAGGATTTTCTTGGAATTTTCTCTGGCTCCCTTCGAATGAATTTAACAGCAGTTCCCATTACATTTTAGCATTTTTGAAAGGATTCACGCTAGTCCCTCATTCGGTCCAGGCACTACGGTGCACCAGACTACTCAAAACTGCCCCAGACGGTAAATAAACGGTAGCTTTGGAGACTTCCCTAACAGGAATGATCCCGCTTCAAATCGAAGTGCAAAAAGGTGCAGGAGGTTCTTTCAATGCAGTGCTGGCGTGGAAACCTTTTTCCACACAGGGAAATGTCAACCCTTACATAGTTTATTCCCCAATTGGAGTGCAGGCCAAAATTTGTTTCACTGACTTTACAGACTGAGCTCAGATTACTTGCAAAGAAAATCAGTTTTTCTACTTTTGTTAAAGGGATATTTATAACTAGCATTTTTTGTAGTTTTTGTTACTGGTTCCTATGGGCTAGTGATCCTGATACCATTTATACCTGAGGTAGAGTATCATTTCTTCATTTAGGGTATTAGTTCTGCACGTAAGTCAAAGCGTGTGAGCAAAGCTTACAAAGCTTCACTACCCGCTTAATGAGAGAGAAAAAAAAAAGTGGTCACTGCTGAAGATGGCTTTAAGTCAAACTACATTTCCCAAAATGCACATCTCTAATGGAAAAAGCTATGGCATCAAATTACGCCACCACAGTTTTTTTCTGCCTAAAAGTCAAGACCAAATACAAATAACAGCACGAAATAGAAACAACACACTGCACTCATTTTAGACCCTCTTTCCAATCTGTTTTCATAAGGCGAGTGTTTTTGTGCTGACCTCTGCGATTTAAATGGCATCTCAGAAAAGCACGGAGAATCAGAGGACGCTCTCGTACATCCCCTCACATCTGAGCAGCCTGCAAGCTACCTAGATGCCCCCAACCTAGAATAGAGATGGTGCGATGATGCCGTTTGTCCCTTCTGTTTAAATAGTGCAATGCTTCACCAGCTAATTCTGGCAAGGGCAACAGAGCTACACAGAAAATGAAGAAACAGAAGGTATCAGAGAAGCGTCATATTCAGATACGTATTTAAGTCATGCTAACGCGCATATAGTATTTGAATATGACTCTTCTCCAAAGTGAGAGGCAACACTGACACATTAGTTTGTTAGAAGCCATGTTAGTACCGCGCTGGGAGAGGGCAGTCGGCACGTTTCGCTAGCCGTGTGTTGAAGGCTGGCCTGTGAGGGGCGCAAGCGTGCGATCCTTATGAGTAGGAATTGAGGCATTCCTTGGAGCGGGACTGGATGTCTTGCAGCTCCTGCTCCTCCTTGGTTTTGATGTCCTGGTACGCATGCATGTGACTCGCATCCTTAAGGTAGGCCCAGTTGGCGGAGAGGACCATGAGGAAATGGATCTGGAAGAGAGGGGCGAGGCAGCAGGGCTGGTGAGTAGGTTAAGAAGCAGGGGCTACACGGGCACCCTAGGATCCTTACTCTAACACTACTACTATTGTTAATAGAACTCAGAATGGTTAATATTTAACAATAATAATAATAATAATAATAATAATAACGTTATTATTATTATTGTTGTTATTATTATTAAAGTTATGACCTCTTTAGACATCTAGGGAGTGGGGACAGAATCGGAGCATGACATAACAAAACATGCACATTTCACTCATAGTCAATTTTATGCTCCAGATCGTTAGTAATTTTAAAAGAGCAGACAAACGTGAAATAAAGCTCCCTGACCCGACCCTCCCAATGCACTCAACTATGAGACTGCGTATATATTTTTATATGTCTTTTTAAGAGATTGGAGAGGGGGAAAAAAAATACAGATTTTTTTTTTTTGTAAACAAATTGTTTATTTCGTATAGAAAGGGAAAATAGCTACAGTCATTGAAAATTCAGGAAAATATTAAATAAAATGAAATATGACATGAGTAACCATAAGAAAAAGAAAAGCATGCGAACTCATTTCTAAACAAACAAGTCACATTTGACAAATCTAATTCAAAATTTCTAAACAAAAGAAATGGATTAAAAACAGAATCAGATTTGTTTTTAAAAGGCACTTTTTATCTAGAACGGATAAAAAAATACAGGGTCCAGGGAAATCAGCACACCAAACATCTTCAGCTTTCTTGATTCATCTACAGTGCTACAGCTAGACCTGTCCTACCCACCCCATCCTACTACTGGGGGGGGATTGGGGTTTATTCAGAAAGTTTTAACCATCAGCTCAAATTTGCACCTTTTTTCCCCCCAAAGTTAGCCAATTATTAGCGCTTGTGTCGTCCTGCAAAACATCTGTCTCCCAGTGAGGTTTGCCCCAGCTGAGCTCTTTCAGTTATTTTCAGCAGGGCTGTTGATTACATTCTGATTATGATTTGATATGTATCGACCTCTATAAATTCTTTCAGATTGTATTATAGGACATTAAGAAATATGTTTCCTCTTTCAATTTGACATTATTTACACAGTGTTAAACTTTATTGTGGTGAATACTATTTCGTTGGAGTGAAGATATATAGCAGAAACAGTTACAAATGTTTAAATCCACTTAAGGGAAATTTGTTCTGTAAAATCTTCTTTAAGTTAGAAACTATAAGGAGTATGAAATCTCTGGTGTTGGGAAGAACAAAATCAGGACAGGAAAAGGGCCCAGAAACTAGAGTTAGGTAAGCTAAGTGTTTGTAGGTATGTTTGCCACAACCGAAATCGTGTGAGCGGAGAAGGCCTGGGATTTTTATTAAAAATAACAAGAAACAAAAGAATGCTTATGAGTGGCTAAACAAAGTCTGCACGACCACCTGTATTTCCAGATATGGCTGAAGGTAAACCGTTAAGCTGGGCGGGTGAGGCGAGTGCAATACAGACAAGGTTACACCAGCTATGATGTGTCACATAAGAGTAGATAAATCAGAGGGGCACATGTTAAGGGTCCTACAGAAACCTACCCAGACCCTACGTCCTACTCTCCACAGGTGACACACAGTGGTTTAGGCAACTTCTGCAGAGGTACATGGAGCCTATTTACACACAGAGGAGTTCTAGTTGAGGCATTTATTTTTATTTTTTTTAATTGGCGTTGTCATGGGCTGCTTGCTCTAGGTGGCGCCCTCAGGTAGACTGCCTCCACTTGTTAGAATTTAGTGCAGCAGTCTTCCCGACTCTTAAACTTCAAGACAGCAAAATTATAAGTGGCAGCCATCATGTAGATCAGCTGGTGGAAGAGAGAAGAGTACAGTGCCGTGAAGACAATGTGGCTCATTCCCCCACTGCATGCTGGGATTTATTTATCCATCATTAGAGCGCACTCTCTTAATGCAGGATTTCTTAATCCTGATCCTGGCTGTCTGTGATGTACCCCGCTTTTGCTGCACTCAGTCATTCACTTATTGGCTTTAATGCATGGCACAATTCAGACTTTGTTAAAACTAACGTGCATCCAGTGCTTAAATTGTTTTAGTTATTTTTATTACTTAACTTAAAATTACATACAGGACTAATTTAATAAATTATCAAACAAAGGACTCTTAATGAATGTAGTTTCTAAGGGTTACCTGCACAATTTTTCCATTATTGACAATTTTATAGCAAGCCTTCATTTAAACATAACCTTTATCCTCATTTGAATTGTGCCAATCATTTGCCAGGTCAATCAACACTAAGCAATAAAGCAACAAGAACCAGAAAACACTGCAGGCTGCCAGGGCCAGGATTATGTCTCTATGCAATGACTGGTAACGCAGTTTAATTTACTTCACATAATAGAAATAAGGAAATTTATTTGCATTCAGTGTTTGTCATAATAAAATATAAATTGATGCAAGACATGTATAATAGCCCTGTGACTTGGGTGTTAAATTTTTAATGCTAAAAAATCTCTTATGTAATGTTTATGTAATGTTTAATCTCCAAGCACATCAGCTAAAAATACCATTTTCCCTCCCTGGAAATTTGAGGTTTTGGCTCAGCAGTGTGCAGTTTGCTCTGAGAGGGCAGCTATGACAGAGCAGAATGCACTGCATCCCCCTGTATCGCCGGAATCCTCAGCAGTGTGCAGTTTGCTCTGAGAGGGCAGCTATGACAGAGCAGAATGCACTGCATCCCCCTGTATCGCCGGAATCCCGTCTGTTTTTTTAAAGCAGGGCACGTCAAAGGAAAAACAGTGACCTCAGCAAAACCCAACGTTAAAATAAAGGTATCCCAGGCCCACCAGGATCCAAACTGGTCGCAAGTGAGACAGATCGGGCCAATGGGATGCATCCCAGTAGTGTGCCCTCACCCCCCCCCCCAAAGGGCCATAGAAAGAAGAGATCTCAGCTTACCAGTGCGATGACAGTGGCCCCCGCCCCAGCACATGCCACGATGTACAGGTGGTAAGACAGATAGAACTGAAAGAGACAAGAGAGAAGATTGGTTATGTGACTCGCAGAAGTTTATCACACTAAGATGCCCTTAATGGAAGCGGCCAGCCAATCGTGCCTCGATATGGCAGTAAATGCGGCCCCCCCTCCTTCATGCAACACGAGGAGCTGCTTACCTCGCTGGTGTTGCAGATGTCGCCCAGAGCAGAGCCACACACCTTCCCAGGTGTAGCATTCCAGGAGATTACGCCTGCAGGAGCAAAACCACCATATTAAAGACTCCACTCCAGCACAGCAACTGCAGTAAATGCATTGTTTGCTTCAATTAAGAACAAAATGGTGCTTGGAGATCTTTACGAGAACCTATTAACGAGCGAAATCATCACACTTCAAGGGAACCTGTGATGCACAACAGTGATGCGGGGTTTCACAACTATGAATTGTTAAAAAGACAACAGTGTGAAAATACAAGAGGAGGCTGCAACAACAAGAGCTACACGCAGATTCGCTAGCAGACAATGAAAGCCAACAGGCAGCACTGCTGCCTTACACCTCCAGGAAGGGGGGTTCAAATCCCACGTAGACACTTATGCCTGTAGCATATGATCGCGTCCAGGGTGTACCCCTGCCTAGTGTCCTGTGTTATTAGACAATATTCTTCAAGAAACGAGGTCATGAGCCATCCTGAATTTTTATATAGCGTGCTTTCCAATGTAGCTGGCTCAAAATATCACATTGACACTGGGGCAACATGTGGCTGGTTTAGACTCAGAAGGCTGCCAGTTCAAATCCCAAGGTCAGCAGAACAGTATCACCACTGAGCCCTTGAGCAAGCCTCTTAAGCTCCAGCTGACATAGGGAGGATGTTTGCCACTTTGATAAAGGTATCTGCTAAATAAATAAAATGAAATAACTGAAGAATGTGATTTAGGTGGGAGCTTAGCTAACACAGGGCTGGCAACGATTACAAAAAAATCAGGTGCTGCAGACTATATCCTTTAGCAGGTGACCAAACCGCCAAGATGGGAAGGGAGGAGAACCCACCGTACTGACGGACGTCCACGCAGATGGAGTCAATGGAGGTGATGTTGGCTCCTGGGGACCTCATGGTAGCGCAGGTGGACCACATGTTGTAGAAGACAAAGACGGGCACCGCCGAGAACCCGAAGACGCCAAGCCAGGCCACGCCCAGGATGTAGGTCAGAAACACGAACTGGTCACGTGTGAACAAGCGTCAGTGAGTCATCTAAAATGCTCTCAATCACCAGAAACATCACATCATCAGGGGTGGATTTTTTAATGTTAACTGAAAAACATTTTTAACCTCAAGGGGACCAATCATACGTTTAAGAACAGAGGATCAATCACATAAAGTAACAGTCGCACCTTCTGGACATAAGTGCCAGCTAATTAATAAAAGGAACATAATAGCCAAGACCCCCGGAGACAGCCCCCGTGTGTGTGAAACGCACCATGCCACTAATGCAGCGCCCACAGATGGTGGTCTTGAACTCGCTGTGAAGCTCCTTCACAGCACTGGTTGTGTAGAATCCCTCAGCCAGCAGGATGATGCCATAGAGGAAGAAGAAGGAGGCGATGCCATAGATGACGTACTGCATCAACTGGACCCTGTGGGTGTGACATCAACAGCTTTAAAAATCAGCGTCCTGGTCCAAAGCCGTTTGTTACATTAAATACACGCTGATATATAGACCGATAAACTCTCTCCGACTCTTCATCACCTATGTAACATATTTCATTGTTTAGCTAGCATATTGTGTATCATATTCCTGGGTCTATTCAAGCGTTGATTTTGATCTTGAGGGTCTGGCTGCACATGAATGTCCCCTCATTAGACGTCATCTTTGTGAGGGGGTGGGGGGGGGTCATAATTTAAGAATGTGGATGCTAAGGTCCGTGATTTGTAAGCCCTTTGCTGACATAGTGACCCAAGATGAAAGCACTCGATGTCCCAAAGATGTTCCAGAGCAATAAATGGACTGTTAACAATCCCGGTTAACGACATAATGCGTGACATGACTCATAGGAGGGGAAAACCTCCCCCCAGCACTTGACAAGAAATAAACTCTCAGTTCATTAGTTCAAATACTGCTCTGTAAAAGCAGGTGGACACAGCATGGATTCAATATACGGTTGAAATGACATGTTGTATAATTCGGCATACATCAAGAAACCGGCAGGGTTGGGGGGGGGGGTTCTGTCACTTACACGTGAGTCAAGAGAGCGTGGTCACTGGGCAAAGTGGAGAAGTGATTTTCCAGGATGGTGACAGTGCCAGTGAGCGCCACGTGGCCGCAGCCGCAGAACAGGGCCACACCCGAGAAGCACAGGATGGTGGCCACCAGGGAGGCATAGGGGACGCCGCCCAAGCATTTGATGCAGCACTCGAAGCAACCTGCAGAGGGACAGAGGGACGGGAGCTAAGCCAAGCAGTCTGTGACCATCTGTGTCACTGTCACAAGAGCCCACAGGGTGACCCAAACACTCCTGAAAACACAGTCTCCATTGTCTGCACTGGGTATCCTCTTTGATTAGCATCGTTCTCCAGAAATATTTTTTGTCCTACCCAGGATCATTTAATTTCACATCAGAATAATTTCGCTCACTTTTCTCTGAAGCCCTTTCCAGTATAATACAACCAGCTGCATACATTTCATTAGTGTTTCTATAACATCCCTGTAACTCAAATAAAGCCTGACAATGACCTTGGGACACAGAGGATGGGTTTTTATTGGTGACCTTATAAAAATGCATTTGGAAAAAGCCCGAACTAGAACACAGCTCAGACTTCAGCCAGGGCCGTGCAGAGACTTTGATGAACAGATGCTCGACTTTGCCAAAAAAAATTGCCAAAAGGGTGGAGGGGGGACTTCCCTCTCAGTAAATTATGTGTCTTCAAAAAAGGGGCACTCCGTAAATTTTTCTGACTAACCCCTCCTCAGTAAAATTTGTGCTGTCGAAAAGGGCCTCTTGGGATCTGAAAACGGAGGCAAAAGGACCAGGTGCTCAGTCCCTGCACATCCCTGAAACAGACCAAGGATGATGCGCTTGAGTTACGTGTATAATGGTAACCTGGAGAGACGGATCAGCCCTTCTGGGGGCACCCTGTCCATTAACAGTGGCTAAACTAAGGCGATTATGGTGGGAGGCGACCCCGCAGAGGGTTAAGTTTAAGCGGCTTGTTACATAACGTCGCGCAGCGTAGGATGATGAATTATTCAACACGTTTCATAAGACACTGCTCCAACACGCTGAGAAACAGAAGCGTCCTGGTCCTCGGGGGGTTGGCTGGCTGGCTTACTTTCAGCAGTTATCTTAGCGTTCATAGGGTCTGGCTTATATTTAGAGGGGGACGGAAAAGATGTTATGAAATTTGATCTTAAACATTTACTGCAAACAGACGATAGTCTTAAAACACATCTTGAATTGAGCTGGACATACCTAAAATCCCATCATGTCTGTGGAAACAATTTTAACAATTTAAGGCTTTATTATTTATTGTTCTGGATTAGGACATGCATTCAAAAATAGCAATCCAGTGAGTTTAGGAAAGTACTGCCTGCATTAAATTATACCTGACATAAAATGAATGGACTGTATACCACTTAGCTGAATAACCATGTTGTACCAGGTCCGGTTAGTACTCTAGGGTTGACCATTGCAGGCAGGGGCGCCGTAAGGGGGAGGAAAGCTAGGACGATTCCAAGGGCCCCTGAGTGACAGGGGCCCTAAAAAATTAGGAAAATAACTGGATTGGTTTGGACTGGGGGGCCTAATATGATACAGTATGCTTTCATGGGGCCCAAAATCTCTAGCAACGCCCCTGATTGCAGGTGTGTATGGCTGGGCCTGCATGACCTCGCAGGTAGCCCTGACCATCCATCAACAGGACTTAAGGACACTAACAGGAAGTAGACAGGTCAAACCCTCAGTCGACTCTTGGTCAAGCAGTCTATATAGAAAAATCAATAGCAATTAATTGGAGAACTGGCACAAAAAAACCCACCATCTTCATCTCTGCACACCTGTACTAAGAACAGTGGCTTCCTTGATAGTCAGATTAAAATGCAGTCCTGGTAACCTGGGCCAAAGATACTTAAGATGTTATTAAATCCTGCCAGCAGCAACTTCAGACTCATAATTATCCCCTTATGCTTGCAGTCATTGGATCTTCAGCACCACTTTGCTTGCTAATATGCTGCATTCATCTCCCATATTCTCATATTTCTGTGTCTTGCTAATGCAGGGATGTTGGTCTTCAGCCCATCCACCTTCTCACAAAACTAGCAAAATGTGGGTGTGCAGACAGTCTGTCCTTATTTCTGATTTTAACGACTGTGAAAACATCAACAGTGAAATGGACATAACTAGACTGTTGTAATATATAATCCCTGTGGACAGACTAGTGACTCGACTCGAACTCAAGTCACAAATTTCATGAGATTTGGACCCGACTTAGAACCTATAACTCGATATGACTTGAGGCTATAGTCCCCCTCTGGATACCATAACATACATTTGATAATTTCAGTGTACATTAATTCTCTACTGTCTACATTTTCAATTTACTGAATGCAAAGTCTCCTGAGATAGTTTGTTGGAATGATGCATCATTCCCGGCATACACATGGACGTAAAAAGTGTAAGGACAACCATGAGTGGACACTCTTTTCAGTCTCTCTCTGCCTATAAAGAACATATCCTATGATGTACTGTGGCAGATTTTTGCTGCAGCAAGTTTTAATCACATAAAGGTAAAAAAAACAGACATAGATAAGGACTCAAGTTACATGACTCACAACTCAACTTGGACTCGAGTAACAAATTCAATGTCTTGTGACTTGACTGTAAAAATGATGGAAAGATTTGGACTCAACTTGGAATTGAGGCCAAGTGACTCGGGACTTTACTTGACTGAAATGTTTTGACTCAAGACTTGACCCAGACTCGCCAAGGAATGACTTGTTCTCATCCCTGCCTGAAATACATGTGACAAAAAGCACTATAACAGATACAGTACAAGAGGGTGTGTTCGCATTCTGCTTCATTCAAAGAAATACCTGAACCATGTAGCTTAATTTAAATCACCGTGGAGAAGTAGGGATCTTCAACAAAGGTTTTGTTTCTTTTAATGTTTATGTTAATGTTTATCTGAACTTTCTACAAACAGCAGGAGCACACAAGCCTTTTGCGAACGTGTAGCTGGTCATCGGAAGGACAAAAGAAGTGAAGGCAGATCCTTCATCTCTGCCATAGTCCCTATCACAAAGTTCTCCAGAGCACTCTGAGAGACACGGGGGAGGAGGAACACTGCTTTCCCATCCTGGGGTTGGCCAACGGCGGTTGCCATGGCAGCATGTTACCCACGACTCAGCGAGTGCGCCGGGGTGACCTGCATTTCACGCACGGACAGGAGAAGCAGGGGCAGATGAGGATGACAGGAGGGGGTATGCAGGGCTGCACATTGCGTTCCTGACTATCCCACGTCCAGAGGACAGGCCGGCATTCTCAACCATCCTCCAACACAGTCCATCCATCCCTCCATCCATCCTCCAACTACAACACAGGTTCTCACAAAATGAACACACATCTCTGTGGAGATGCTCTTGAAGCTCTCCTAAGCTCAGTTTGCTTCCAATGTCTCCATTTGATTCCAATGCATGCAAATTTGCAAACGCAATTCCAATGAAGCAAACACATTCATAGTGCTCAATTTACTGTACAGTTAAGTTCCCCCCTTCCTGGGATTGACCGCAAAGCCTGGTCCACAGCCTAGTTTTCTAAACAGCACCACACACTTTTTTTTAGAATGAGAAACACAAATTAAACAAACACATCCACATGAAACAGCAGCACATTCCCGCAAACAGCCTTATAATACACAGAGACGCCGGGACCCATTTTCTGCTCCGTTGGGAATTGTCTCTCTGTTCTTCATGTTTAAAAACCCTGGTTCCGAACCCAATGGGTGCTGAAGCATGCCAATGAAGCAGGGACACGAGGACCGGCGATGCCCATTCCCGTCCATCGCAGGATCGGAAAGTACCACGCCGATGCCAGCGCAGCCTGACCTTCTTATTATATCTGTGCCGGCAAGCAAACACAACACCAGGCTAATTGTTCTCCTTTTGGTCACAAGCCAGATGTGTCCTGCCAGTTTGTGTTATGCTAATTTCACAAGTCATTAATGAGATCTCACACCCATATCATCACCCTTCGACTGCTGTACCCTGATTCTTTATCGGGTGAGTTCCAGAGTACAAACGCTTTTTGGATACTTACTGCGTCTACTTATATTAAATAGTATATAGTTTATGGCACAATTATCTTCTGCAAATTCTGCTTGGTTCCAGTTTAAAACACCCAGAAGCCTGTGTCGCAGAACCATGCATTAGTACTGGCTTCACAAGCGAGTCAAAGAGAGAATGACAAATGCCTACCCACAAGACAACCTCCACTAACTGATTTTTCCATTTGACAAGCTCTCACCAATCCAATGCAGCGTGCTTTTAGCAGCCAATTGGATTCTGCTAGGGGCCCAACCAAATCTGGATTAAAATCTGCCCCTGCACTGTGCGCTGACCTCTCAATCCGTTCACATGTAGGATTCGTCCTCAGCGGTAACACTTTGCACACGAAAGCCTCCATTCCCTTGAAAGCCTCCAGACACACTTGGAAGTTGAACAAGATGCGCTACTGTTTTGATGCAACAATTCAACATATCTGAATAGTGTGTTGAATTTTATTGCTACTGAAGTGAACCAGCAGGGGACAGAGTCATTCTAATAACACTGTGTAACTACCCCTTCACATGGACATGCACGACAGATTAATATAAAAATGCATCACTGCTAAATGATCTGGGAGACCTATAGGGTATGTGACTCACTTTTGTGTAGATGATTCAGACACAGCAACATATTTCAGGACTAGATTACGCAAATACGCTTCTCATCTTGCCTGAGCTCTGAGCTCATCTACCCAGCGTCAGAGCAGCGGAAATTAATTTTACATAAAAGGACACATTAATGACGGTACTGATGGGAGGATCTGAGATTCCCCACATGCTGTGGACTGTAATCTGACCTGTCATCTGCTGTGTGAAAAGGCATTAAGCAAGATGCAAGTGTGCAGAGAACAGTCTGGGTAAGCATTCCCTGCACCCACTCCCCCTGCACCCACTCCCCCTGCACCCACTCCCCCTGCACCCACTCCCCCTGCACCCACAATGGCAGCAGCTCCCTAGAATGATGCAGGGTGGGATATAAAGTTTCATACTGTCATACTGTCCCGACATTATACCGCTATATGATATGTGGCCAG